ATAATAAACATTAACTTGTCTGTCTATGTTATTTAACTTCAAAAACATAAAAAATTACCAAAAATTTAGGTAAAATCTCTTTTGTCCTTTGAAGAATTTACATTATGGATGGCCATGTCTGAAAAATCTAAAATAAAAAGAGGATAATTGTCTAATAAATTCAGGCTGCTGCTTCACTCCCCTGTGTAATGTGAGCACATACTAAATACATAAAAAACTATTTTATCTCTGGATCATAAGTATCTTAGTCTTTGTAAGAACCCTGAATGTTCAAAAAGATGTCATAGACCATCAGAAGAGAGCTGAGCATATTGATCTGCAGAAAAAAATACAATGCTGGGAAAGGTCAGGGTAAGATGCAAAGAGGGCATTGTCTAATACATGTTAGAGGTGGAAAGTAGCCAAGCTAACCTATGCCAAATCATCTCATCAATAAACAACGTCTTTTCCAGAAAACTAGTTCCATTTGATTAATATTTTGGGTCAAGTAAGGGTTGCATTAAAATTCAGCAGATATTTGCATTGTGGGCGCTTTTTTTAATTATGTAGAGTCCTCCTAGCTTGTCAGACAAAACATTAGAACAGATTTAAGGCAGTCCTGGAAGGATCTACCATGCTGGGTGACTTTCAAATGTGGTCTCTCAAGGCTCCTGATAGTCTGAAACTGTATTCTATTCCTTCCTTCACTTTTCATCAACATACTTATTTGCATATCTTAAGCAGTGAAGATGTTTGTCTAAGTGGCATAAAAAAAAAGAGTCAAAGATAATGTACAAATGGATTTTGCTCCAGATTTAATTGACATATGGTCATAGACTCCCTTCCTGCTCTCGGTCAAGACAGGACCCATATGGCTGTTGATTCGCTGCATAGAGAAAAGGAAGCCAGCACTAACCAGGGGAGACTCCAGGGCTTGACCACAGCCTGCGATTCAAATTCAAAACTTGATGGCATATGTGACGTTGCCCAGTCACTTTTAGTAGTGCAATTTACCTTTTATCTAATGAAAATAATAATTGGATATTTGCTTTATGCCAGGCAATATTCCAGCTGGTGTAAATTCAGTGATCAAAGATCCAGATCCTTGTCCCTCATAGAGTTCACAATCATTTATTTTTACTGTTATTTGGTTGATCAGCGAGAGCACGTGGTTATCTCCTTGCATGGGCTTGATACAGAATATGTGCTGGGTTAATGTTAGTTACTCTATTTTTCCCTGTATTTTACTTTTTCAAAACATTTATGAAGGGCTGGCCCAATAGCTCATTGGACTAAAGCTCCTGCTTAGGCAGAGTGCAGCAGCCGGGGTTGGATCCCAGGCGTGCAGTGCTGTGCCAAGCCCATCCCCACGCTGAGACTGTGAATGAGACTGGGCATGGTGGTGCACATCTGTAATCCTAGTGCTTGGGAGGGGTGAAAACAGGAGGGTCACTACAAGTCCAATCTACATAGTGAGACCTGCAGACCCTGTAGATCCTGTACCACAAAAACAAAACAAAACAAAACATTTATGAATAAATACTGTAAAGCAAATTAATGGGACTTTGGCACATTTTTATTTAATGTATTTTTGCCTTGTGTAGACTTTTTAAGCTATAGGCAAGATAATTACCTTTCATTTCAAATGAAATATGCTCTATCCATTAATTACACAGTCAAACATCTACAGTGACCTGGTGAAGAGGGGAATGTATGAATCAAGTTGAAGTATAAAAAGACAGGCAGTGTGAGAGATTTGCAGCCAGGAAAATCCATCCAGTCAAGTAGGGAGAACGATGTGGCATCATTTATTTCTATGTGGAAGTGTTGTCCCAAATACTGGGAAATTTACAAGGAAAGTGAGAAATACGTTTGTTATGTGAAACTTTCACATTTTGTAGCATAGATATTTAATTAATATACAAACAAAAATATACAGCAAACATAGATATACACACATAGAAGTATCATTTTTGTACATATCCCATAAGTCTAGTTTGTATGTTACATGTTTGTGATCTTTCCTCTAAGAGGAATTTTGGACATTCATCTACCTACAGTCTTGAAGATTATTAAATCCAGATTATGTCACCTTATCTCTTTCCAAGCTCTTCATTGGGTCTCTATTTTCCAGAGAGGGTAATGATCAATTTGGTGAGCATTTGCAATTGTGTCTACTCTTTGCTTACTATTTAGAATGTTTAGGAATGTACGAAAGCATCTACACTGTTAAAATATTCTCACAGGTGATGAGTATTCTACAATGATGAGCCAAGCACAGGAACGGTCCAGACAAGCAATTCAGGATTGTTTTGTTCTGAGCATATGAGGTCCTTTCCAATCTTGTATTAATGGTGCTTTTCTTGGTACATTCTCAGGTTCACCATCCTGTCATAGCGTTCTCTTTGCTTTGTTAAAAGGATTACAATTTTCATGTCTGAGCCTTCTCCATGGGGTCTTCGTTGTTTCTTTTCTACCTTCTCTCAGAGAAAACCCTGTTCATTTTTCAAGCACCAGAACAGAAAGTTACCCCTTCCTAATACATTCCCCATTCTCCTACAAAACCTTGGCTCTCTCCCTTTTTTAATTTGTAAAGCATTTTGGTTTACCTGATTTAATGATACTTGGCACGACAATTTCCCATTGCTTGTTCCCATGCATATTTTCTGAATCTCACAGCCTGCAACATATGTTACATTTCTTGTAAATTGTTTGATGAAAAAGAAAGGAGAGAAAGATCTAATAGTAATCTAAATATAGAACAGCAAATGTCATGAATTTTACTTATTTTTCAGTAGCTTCTGATTTTGATGAATGGGGGGAGGGTTCAGTTATGAAAAATAGGCTGAATTGGAACGGATCCATCTATTGCTTAATTTGTAACAACTCTATTTAAAATCATGATATTGAACATGAATGTTTGAACTCAGACAAAGAGCATTCATTTTACAAATTGAGTTTTAAAATTTTATTATAACTGTAGGAATACATCCATCTGGAAATGCAGTAAGTTAGAGTGTACCCAGACAATGTTTCCTTTTTTTAAAGAAATCTGGATCTGTGCTTTGAAGTTTCAGTGTCAGTTTAAGCGTGATCTACTTGGTGAGCACCAGGGAGGTGGAACCTACACAGAGAATCAAGAAGATGTTCAGAGAATCCTGTTCAGCAAAGCTGAGACTGGAAGACATTGATAGTCTATAAGGGTAGCCAGAGACGAGACAGCTTGATCGATGTGTCATCCGACTGAAAAGAAAAGGCACCACAGCAGGGGTGACAGAGACGTGTTCTGTGTGTCTATCGATCTGCAGCCTCCCATGGAAAACTCTACATATTTCTGAATGCTTTGAGTGTTTTTATTGATGAAGCTTTTCCGAGGTGAAAAGGGAATCGGAGTCACCACATTGATTTCCCATGTCGTGGTTGGAATTCAATGCACACATAAATGAGGCAGGAAATGAGGGACACCAAGAAACTCAGAAAATCACTCTGGGTGGATTGGTAGAGAAAATTTCCCAACTCCACACGTTGGGAAAGAGGACAACAATGAAACCTGCCCTCAGTACATTCTGTGCAGCTATTATCAGGAGATTCCTGTTTTCTTCTGTTGTTGAAATTTCTCAGTGCAGCAGGTGATAAAACTTGACCCAGGGAAATCCTCAGTGGAACAAAGCTGTCATCCAACGAGATGATGTGGAAAGTGGATAGAACTTTAGTACATATCTAGTTAGTGGCTGAGTATATTCACGGGACACTTGCACTAGGGTATATCAGTACAGCAGAGAATCACAGGCCTGCGAAAGAGTTTGAAAAGTTCTATAATGCTTTCACCTGTATTCAAGTAGGAAAAGCCTTATGTGCTAGGGAGGGAAAACATCTTCCAAAACCTGTAGAATATTAACATTATTATTTTTAGTATTACTTTCAGATTTAACATATTTTTATACACAATGTTTATAATACTTTGTATCATTAAATGTTCATTTTGTAATATGTTTTTAATGAAAACAATACATTCAGACACCTGTGTTTCTTGAATTTAGATTCTGATTTATCTTGGAAGCATATTTTGACATCAGAATAACCAGCTCTTTGGGTGGATTAATACAGATGAAAAATAAAAGAATCAAAGATGTTTCCTATGTCCTTGCTTGTTTCAGTATGTGGATAATAATACTGTGTAAATGATGAAATGGGGGAACAAAACATATTTGGAGAAGTGGGAAGAGTTCTGCTTTAGCCACGTTAAACAGGAGATGTTCATTGACTACATATCTGAAGAACAGAGTAAGCAGTAGTACATTTGAATCTGAACCTTCATTAGCTGCTGTATTTGTTATTTATACTGTTTTATTGTTTTATGTGAATATGAGTCAGGAGCCTCCTCTGGGCTGTCAGGGATTTGGGAATATAAAGACCTCAAACTGTACAAAACACTATGGATTACATTTCAGAGAATTTCTTACTGGACATCGAAGACCCAGATACCTTAATTTCTGGTCTATTTGCTATTGTAAGTTGGGAAATCAATTCCTTTTTTTTTTTTTTTTTTTTTTTTTTTTTTTTTTTTTGCGGTAATGGGGATTGAACTCAGGAACTTGTGCTTGCCAGGCAAGCGCTTATTCTACTAAGCTATCTCCCCAGCCCTGGGCAATCAGGAGAAAAGAAGATAATCAGTTTTCTTATAGAATAATTTCTCAGAAATCTTAAGATTGACATCAGCAAAGATTCTTAGATCATGGATATTTTCTCTTGGTCTTCTCTGAACTTTACCCCTGTCCATGTTTGGTGTGTATCTCACTTAAAAAAAAAAAAAAAAAAAAAAAAAACATTTTCTGGCTAAGTCAGTTTTCTTCTCCTGTTGGTTATGTTAATGAAATCTGATTAAGGAAAGGAGAAAGGAGAAGATATTTAAAAAGTGAAAGATCCCTGGGACAAAGTGCTTGGGGAAATTGTGTATTACATATGACAGAGAAACCTTTAGGGGGAATAAAGAAAAAACCTGGAGGCGGCAGGGCCCGCCCGGGTGCCCCATCCTCCTCCCGCGCGCCGTCAGGCCTCGAGAACTACAACTCCCGGCATGCCTCCGCCCCGGAGGCGCAGACGCTGAGGCGGGGGCCCCCGGGCCACCTCTGGTCCGCGGGTCGTCGCCTCGGTGGCAGCCGCGCGGCTAGCCGGGACGGGAGCCATGGAGGACGCGTCGCCCCCGACGCCCGGCTGCAACAAGCCGCACCTGGAGAAGCTGACCCTTGGCATCACCCGCATCCTAGAATCTTCTCCAGGTGTGACAGAGGTAACCATCATAGAAAAGGCACCTGCTGAACGTCATATGATTTCTTCCTGGGAACAAAAAAATAATTGTATGATGCCTGAGGATATGAAGAACTTTTACTTGATGACCAATGGCTTCCACATGACCTGGAGTGTGAAGCTAGATGAGCACATCATTCCGCTGGGCAACATGGCAATTAATAGCATCTCAAAATTAAATGAACTCAACCAGTCTTCTATGTATTCACTTCCTAATGCACCAACCCTGGCAGACCTGGAGGATGATACATATGAAGCCAGTGATGACCAGCCAGAGAAGCCTCATTTTGACTCTCGAAGTGTGATATTTGAGCTGGATTCATGCAATGGAAATGGGAAGGTTTGCCTTGTCTACAAAACTGGGAAACCAGCATTATCACAAGACACTGAAATCTGGTTCCTGGATAGAGCATTATATTGGCATTTTCTCACAGATACTTTTACTGCCTATTACCGCCTGCTCATCACCCACCTGGGCCTGCCCCAGTGGCAGTATGCCTTCACCAGCTATGGCATTAGCCCACAGGCCAAGCAATGGTTCAGCTTGTATAAGCCCATCGCCTACAACACAGACCTGCTCGCTGGAGAGACCGACTCCTTCATGAATAAGCTAGACCCAAGCAAAGTGTTTAAGACCAAGAACAAGACTGTAATCCCAAAGAAAAAGGGTCCTGTTCAGCCTGCCAGTGGCCAGAAAGGTCCTTCAGCTCCCTCAGCCTCTAAACCCTCATCTAGCTCTGCAAACCCTATCCGCAAATGAACACCACCTCCATCTCTCCACCACCCTCACGGTAGTGATTTCCATGCACCTGTGGCCCTCAGAATGGCACAACCTGATACTGTGTAATTGTAAGCATCTTCCTGAGTGACCAAAATCTTCCCACTGACAATACCTCGGAATTGGAAGGGCATATGTACTGAAATTTACCCAAGCGTCCTTCCCTTACATTCTTCCTTAGTGGGTTGCGTGAGTCTCTGCCTCAAAAAGCTGTATAGAATTTTAGATCTTAAGTGGACAGAGAAATCAATTAAGAGCTTTGTTTTCTTTGCACACCTAACTTGTAGTCCCTTAGCAATAATTGGAGAAGTCTCCAAAAAGAAACACTAGCTTTTGACTGAAGAAACATTGGGTAAGTTGAATAAGTAGCCCCTAGTCACATGTGGCTATTTAAGTACACGAAAACTTCTTGTCCTCAGTTGCCTTTACATTTCAAGAATTCACATGGCTAGTAGATTCCACGTTGGACAGTACAGAGATGAAGAATGTTTCCGTCGCAGAAAGTTTTTGGACATCACTACATCAGAATATTTTCATACTGATCATCCTCAAATCAGTTTATTTTTGTTGTTAAGTAATGTTAATGCCCTAACTTCATGGATTGTAATATTTCATGAAAACTTTTGAGTATATAATTGTATAGTCTTTATCAGGAAAATATGTCATTGTTAATTAGTTTTCTATAAACTTCCTCATCAGTTTCAAAAAAAAAAAAAAGAAAAAAAGAAAAAACCTGGAGCTTCCATGTTGGGATGGAAGGCTTAATATTTTCACCTATACCAATTTGTACTTACTGGGCAGGCAATTCAACCAGTTTGGAATGTTCATATTTTCTGTGGGATTGGAGAGAAGCAGATATGGGAAGAAAAACTCAACTTAAAGAAAATTTGGGCAGCGGGGGAGGAAATGACACAGCATACATTACCAGGGCTTTTGGCTGTGGGTGGGAATTGCATCCAAGCCTGAGCTGAGAACCTCCAAGCCAGAAATGCAGAAAGCATCACCTTTGACTTACAGTAATTGCAAATTAACAGCCCCAGCAAAAAGAAAGCCACATTTCTTCAACACTCCCCATTGCTCTGGTGCAGCCAGTGTCTGTGATTCTGGGATGAACACTACCAGCGCTGCCTGGGAAGTACCTAGGTCACCAGCTGGCCAACAGTGATCAGAAACACTGAGAATAGATTCTTCTTTTGGGCTGAAGTAAAGCTCTGTGCAGCATTGAGAAATTTATGCAGGAAAACACCACCTTGGTATTGGTAAGATTTCATAGTTCTGAAATCCAATAATCATGGCAAAGTGGGTGGATGGCAAATCAATAGTTTTCCAGGAAAATTGACTAACACCCTGCTACACAGTGAACTTTTAAAACAAAACTATTACATTCCAGTATCTCAGAGCAAAAAGGAGTCAAAAGTGACAGCAATCTGCTCCATCCAGATCCTGTTATCTACAGCAGGGGGACAACAAAAGTTAATATAAATGTGCAGGGCTGGTGTTTCCTGCTACTGGGATCACTTCGGCCTTTATTCTCCAGCTTACACACATCCTTTCCGCCTGATCGTCTTCAAGTCATTATGTTCCTGTCATGCTTTTACATTGTCACGCTGCTGCTCTCTAAGCCCTTAGTGCCAGATTCCCAGTGCGGGACTCACAGTTAAATGAACCAAAATATAAAGTCATTACTTTCTGCCTCTTTGTCTTCAGTGACTTGTGCACCATTGTGTTTTTTCATTTGATATTCATAATAGAAATTGTCGATGTCAAAGAGAAATAGAAGGGAGAAATCATGTGGAGAGCAGCCTCTAAAATAGAGGCAACATCACAACTTGAAATTTTTAACTGTGATTGCTCTCAAAAAGAGACATAAAACACAATCAATAGAAAGCCTAAGTAGTTTCAATTCAACAGCCTTCATATTAAAAAGAATTACACATTTTAATTGTTTTATCATAAGCAGATGACTTTAATGAGTGCTTTAAAAAACTCAGACTGAGAAATAAATCATCTAGAACTTTTCTTAAGCCTTACGTGAGGATAAAAAGAGTTGGTGTAATGTATAACCAGATTCAAACATGTTTAATAGGGACTCCCAGGATAATCTAGCTGGATTTTTAAATTTGATGGTACCACAATTTAAAAGCAAGTGTCAAAGAAAAAAACCTAAGACTTAACACAAGCCCATGTTTCACAGTTCATCGAAGCCGATCAGTAGATATTCACCGCTAAGACAAATGTGAGCCTCAACAAGCCAATTAAAGATTTGTGGCGTTGTGCCTACATCATGTAAATTAACACATGCAAAATGTAAAGTGGGATCAGAAGTACGTATTCAACTTTTTTTTTTATCACAGTGCTTTGCTAAGTGTGTGAGGCCTCATGTAAGGTATCTAGTATATAATTTATGAGCTGCCAGCCCACGAATTGGTAATTATAAAAGCCAGCATGAATGCTTTGAGAATTAATAATTGTGTGCCTATTTCATATTCTTCTGTAAAATTCTTTCTTTGGCAGCTCAGGACAAAATGTCTTCATGTTATCCCTGGATTTTAGAAAGATATTGCACAAAATCCTTCAATACCCCTATGATAAACTTAGACAAGTATTAATAGATTTGACCTAGGGCTTAATTCTAAAGACATTGTCATATTCTTTTCAAAGTCTTCTAATAGATTAGCTTCCACCTGAATTTTTGGTATTTTACTATAGTCCATAGGTAGAAGTCACACAGTGCAATTTGGTTTTAAATGTAATAGAGATCCCAAATTTTCTGATCAAGGAGCTTATGGGGCCAAAGAGGAAAGTGATCAATGATGTAGAGTGTGCCTAAGGAGAGTCACATGGAGAGAAAACATTCTCTCAGGCTTTCACAGAAAGCACATTGGCCAAGCAATGGCCGTGACTCATCCTCATGGCTGACACTGACCAAGGTTCTACAATCTGAGGTACAGGATCTCAGGATAAATCCTGAGTGAATTTCACTGACCTTATCAGACCCAAAAGCTACAACTCTTGTTGCATAGGCCTTGCTTTACCTAGGTCTTACCATCCAGCAGAATAGTATAAAAACAAAGTACAAGAAGTATAGTCACGGTGCTATGTTGAGCTGTAAGGGACTCAGGTCAACAATTTCTGACATTGCCAGTGAAGCATAAGACCCAATACTATTATGGACTACTGGACTCTTTTAGAATATTTTGCTGAGTTAACACACCTATAATTAGTCATATAATGGAACTTAACAGAAAAAAGGGGATACAGATGAATATCCATTTTGTGTCTGTGTATTCAAAATGGTTAGGATAGATATATAGTTATATTCTCCTAATGAATAGAGGATTTTGTTGTGATAGTGTTTGTAAATAGGCTATCACGTCCAAATCTTGTACAGCAATTAACCACTAGGAAGAATGTATGCAATGTGTTAATTATTGAAACTGTCCTACCAATTTGATTTGAAACTGTCTCATTGCTATTTGTTTCTCATAAAATTGTGGAAAAAAATAAATGTAATAGAGAATTTTTAAAAAATATATATTTGGTACAGGGTCTCACTAGGCAGTTTGGACTCATAGTGATTACAGTTGTGTGCCACCAAGGCCAGTCTCAGTGACGAGCTCAGCATGCCCCCAGGGATGGGGCCTATGAGGTATGCAGTACTGGGTATCGAACCCTGGTGCCTGCACTTGCCAAAACATGCACTTAGTCCACTGAGCTATTTCTCAGGCCTTCATAATTACAGATTCTTAAGAGATAATAAAATTTCCTTCACTAGATGTACTCCAAGAGTTAATTGACAATGACAAGTTTTGATAAAATCTTACACATGTTTCTCACAATGTTTGGCACAAAGCTCTTGTACATTAAAATATTACTTTGGATAATAATTTTATTTTGGGTGTATAGATTCTTAGAAACACATTTAACTCACCTAAAAGTATCAATAGTAATCATATTACATATTAAAATAAGTAACAAGGGGGCTGGGGAGATAGCTTAGTGGAACAAATGCTTCCCTAGCAAGTACAAGGGCCTAAATTCAATCCCTCCTTCCACCAAAAATAAATAAATAAGTAAGTAAATAAATAAAATACATAACATGCTTTTATGAACATTTCTAATTTCAGTAAAATTTAGTAGAAAAGAAACAGCATTATTTTTCATTAATCTAGTTTGATAAAAGACAGCTGAATTCCCTAATCTCATTTTGATATATGTTTTTATTTGAGGTAATAAAACTGCTCCACACAGATATATAGTTTGAGCATGGGGGCTTCACATATGAATAAGCTTTTTAAGTAATTGTGGATATATGAAAGCTCAGCAAGTAGAATTGTGAGATCCAAAACCATATCAATGAATTTTTTTCTTTTATTATAAAGTATTGGTATAACTTGCAATTTATTTATTTATATTTTTTCTGTTGGAGACAGCAGTTTGTTATGTAGTTTGGGTTGGCCTTGAACTCATTTAGTGGCCCAGGTTGGCCTCAAACTCAAAGAAATCCTTCTGCTTCAGCCTCCCATACTCTACAACTACAGGTGTGTACCGTCATGCTGGGCAAAACTTCTACTTTAATCTTTTATCTCTGTGTGATTTAGTAACATCATGCTTTAGTAATTTGGCAAATTCTGGCTCAATGAGTTATATAGGTCTTACAAAAACTAATAGAATTTATTATATAGCATCAAAAATTATGATTTTATGTTGTCACTCTCATGATGAGAAAATTATTTTAAGTATTGAGAAGCAGTCAGGTTATCCAAAATTCATTTTTTACATGAAGTATCAAATATTATCATGGATGACTAGTAGTGCTTACTTTTTTATTTACAATGATATGCTCACCTTATTATCTTTTGAAGGAAGAACCTGCCAAATACCCATATCTGAGAGATCACAATTTGCATTTCTGTCATTTTATTGAGTAAAGATGGTGTTCTATGGTTAAAGTACCTAGTTCAATCCCAAATGTGCTTTTTTTTCCTTAGACAA